CCCCGCAAAGTCTTTGTAATATAATGCACCTCTTCCATCATTGAAGGGCTACCCAAAAATAGGTTCATGCGAAAATTTTTTTAAAAAAAATTTATGGAACATTTGACGTTTTTCTTCTGAATTACACTTTTTTTCTCTGAATTATTCGTGTATCTGCATTAGCCCCTTAAATATTTTAAAACAGTACTTTTTCTCTTTGATATATTAAATAGACATTTTTACCTTAAAAATAAATATTTTATTTATTTTTCTTCTCCAACAAATTATTACTTATATAGGGATGAACACGGTTTGATTCGAAATAAACAGGACATTATAGCAATCAAATCAAAAGGTTTCGGTTATGATTCAACACCAGAACTCAATATGTGGGTTTAAGTTTATTAAAATCGTAAACCGGAAAAATTGGATCCTGAACCGTGAATCATCAGTTTGAAATCGAAACAACAAAAGGCATTAGCTTAAAATTAGAATTATAATATTTGCAAATAATGTATGTTTTTTTTTTTTTTGCATTTATTCTAATTCTCAATAGCAATTTGGTTCTGATTTTGAACCGTCGGTTCATGGTTTCGGATCTAGTTTGAACCGATGCATGGTTCAAACTTTTTTAAAAATTTTATTTTCTATTTTTAAAATAGTATAAATTCAACAATTAAACTATTTTTTTTTTACTTCGGAATCAAAACCAACCATTCTTATTCGCGATTTTAATAAACTGAAACCCAAATATCGGGTTCTAGTTCTAAATTGTAACCAAAAAATTTTTTTTTGATTGTTATAGTGTCTGTTCGGTTTGAACCAAACCGTGGTCATAATTTATTGGAAAAAAAATAACTGAAATATTTATTCTAAGGATAAAAAGGCTATTTAACATATCAAGAAGAAAAATCGTCACTTTTAAAATAATTGATAGGTTAATGTGAATACATGAATGATTTAAGGGGTGTATAACTCAGGGATAAAAAAATTCATTTTCCAAAAAAATGTAAAAGAAATAATGAAAGCACGTTTTGACTTTTGATTGAAGGCCGGATCCATGAACATATCATTAAGTAGTTGACCTAATATACATTTTATAAATAGCATGTTGAATTTTTCTCTATGCTTTGGTCCTACCAAAACTAGAATATAACAGCATAACACAATGGTTGGTAGTTGACAATATTAAAATATTAGAAAAGGATCGAATAAGCATTAGAACTAATAGAAATACTACAATTAAGCTAAAGTATTTTAATTAGACACTTTAATATGTAAGCTGAATTAAAATAAATAAATAAATATATATATATATATATATATATATATATATATATATATATATATATATATATATATATATATATATAGGGATGCACTCAGGTGCGAATAAGTACCCAGGAAGGAAATAGAACGAATCAGCGCGCGACACGTGTCCAGATCTAATAACTTAAAAAAAATGCGGTGGCATTTTCGTAAATAATTAAACATCGAAGTGCAAGTAAAATCACTTACAAGTGCACCTACTTTCACCTAGAAGTGCATGTAATTTTGCCTTGTTAGCATTCACTTTCCGCAAACATTCATGCACCTGGGTGTGTTTATAACTATAGGTGCAACTATTTATAACTATAGGTGCAACTACTTATAACTATAGGTGCACCTACTTTCACCTATAAGTGCATGTAATTTTTCCTTGTTCACATTCATTGATCTGAGTTCAGCGGGTAGTAATACCCCTGAAAACCACTCGCAAACATTCATACACCTAGGTGCAACTACTTATAACTATGTGTGCAACTACTTAGAACTATAGATGCAACTACTTAGAACTATAGGTGCAACTACGTATTGATGATCAGTGTAAATTTTTACTTGCACCTATAATACATTTTACATGCACTTGTAATACATTTTACTTGCACTTCGATGTTCAATTATTTACGAAAATGCCACCGCGTTTTTTAAAAAAATCTGTATTTCTCATCCATTAGATCTGGACACGTGGATGGACAGAATCCATTCCTATTTCGCGCCTGGGCGGAGCATTCGCACCCGAGTGCGATTCTATATATATATATATATATATATATATATATATATATATATATATATATATATATATATATATATATATATATATATATATATATATATATATATATATATATATATATATATATATATATATATATATATATATATATATATAGGGATGCACTTAGGTGCGAATAAGTGCTCAGGAGGGAAAAGCGAACGAATTCGCGCGCGACACGTGTCCAGATCTAATAACATTAAAAAAAAAACGCGGTGGCATTTTCGTAAATAATTGAACATCGAAGTGCAAGTAAAATCACTTACAAGTGCACCTACTTTCACCTATAAGTGCATGTAATTTTGCCTTGTTAGCATTCACTTTCCGCAAACATTCATGCACCTGGGTGTGCTTATAACTATATGTGCAACTATTTATAACTATAGGTGCAACTACTTATAACTATAGGTGCACCTACTTTCACCTATAAGTGCATGTAATTTTGCCTTGTTAACATTCATTGATCTGAGTTCAGCGGGTAGTAATACCCCTGAAAACCACTCGCAAACATTCATACACCTAGGTGCAACTACTTAGAACTATGTGTGCAACTACTTAGAACTATAGGTGCAACTACTTAGAACTATAGGTGCAACTAAGTATTGATGCTCAGTGTAAATTTTTACTTGCACCTATAATACATTTTACATGCACTTGTAATACATTATACTTGTACTTCGATGTTCAATTATTTACGAAAATGTCACCGCGTGTTTTTTAAAAATTAGTGTTTCTCATCCATTAGATCTGGACTCATGGACGAACAGAATTCATTCCTATTTCGCGCCTGGGCGAAGCATTCGCGCCTGGGCGAAGCATTCGCACCTGAGTGCGATTCTATATATATATATATATATATATATATATATATATATATATATATATATATATATATATATATATATATATAATTAGCGGTTTTAGCATATTACCATAAGGTAAACTATTGACTAGACATGCTATGTGAGTTTTTAAAGTGATTTGGCACTAGGTTGGGTATTTTTAGAATTGATGTAACTTAATAATAAATAATAATAATAATTTAATTTTGATATTTGAAAAATGTTTTTTTTGAAAGAAGACTTGGCTTCTATTACAGTTGAAGACGAGGTTAGCTTTTCATCTTCGTCTTTGTTCGGACAAAGATTAACTCATCTTTGTCTGATTTGGATGAAGGCAGTTCGGATCTAGGGTAAAGAATTGTTTATCCAAATTGAAACAAATTTAGGTGGAAGGAGGATGCCAACAAGAGAGCAAGGTCACTGGTGATATACCAATGGAGCTTTTATTTTTTTTTTTTCCCTTTTTTAAGAAAAAAATAAATATCAAAAAATTATTATTATTATTATTATTATTATTATTATTATTATTATTATTATTATTATTATTTACTACGCACCTTACGTTTTAAACTTAATAAGCACATTTAGACACGTAATGCTATAAACTTACGCATCTTAAACTTTGAACTTATGCACCTTTAAGCTTTGAAAATACGCACCTTAAGCTTTACAATTATACACCTTAAACTTTCAACAATATGCAAAATTACCATAATGCCGCCGCATTATTTTTAATTTATCTTCATTCAGAGCTGTTGATTTTGGCAAGATAAATGAGTATGATTAATTCCCATGTTTCACCTGAGAGAAGTTTCGCACCTGATCCCTTGCATATATAAATAAATAAATAAATATATATATATATATATATATATATATATATATATATATATATATATATATATATATATATATATTTATTTATTTATTTATTTATTTATTTAGGGTGCTGGTCCTATGAGAACCATCATCCCTATGAGTACATGAGAACCAATATGGTGCATTAAAAAAACAGATTTATGGAGAGATTAATTGAGGGAATACAACATTTGTGTGTGCATATGGAGCATTGGGTTTGTGCAAACATAGGATATGCACACAGCACATGCTCTATAATCTATATGCACATGTGAATGTTGAATTCCCCCAACTAAACTCATCTTAGATATGTGTAACTTAGTGTTGAGTTCAAGTTTTAATTGTGATAATGTGAATAATGTCTAGCTTTAATCATAAACAAATAAATTATATTTATATAAATAAATGTGAGTAGAAAAGATAGAAGATGTTGATAATTAAAAGAAGACGATAATGGATGTAATCATATATAGTAATGAATAAGTATGTAAGTAATAAGTATGTAAGTAGATAATGGCGAGAATGTAGTTATTATAGTGATATATAGTCAAATAGATTATAGAGATTCTATTTTCCATTGTAAAGCAATTTTTAAAAGTTCTCAAGTTTTCTAAAAAATTGGAAAACGTTTTCAGTTTTCAAAATAGAAAATTGTGCTACTAAACATGTTTTCTATTTTATATTCTCAAATTCTCCGGTCAGTAAACGAGCCCTTAATGTTTTAAAATTATAAATTACAATTTTAATTTATCCATATTGGCTAATACACTCTACATTTATTGATGTACTATATACAATGCAAATGTGATGAGTTTTAACAATTAATCTCCTTATAAAAAACAACAAATTGAAGCATCAGTCATGTTCATGTCAGCAATTGAAGAATTGAAATCACTACACTATATAAATATAGAACAGGAAAAAAAAAACTATTTTGCCTATAATAATATTACAACAAACATGCTCCTAACTCTTGGGAGCAAAACCCTTGATTGATATTATGAAATTAATTAATTGACATCTATCTAGGGGTAGAAAAAATGTGTTTTTATGGGGTGAAGTAGCAGATGTGCTTTGAGATTGGGTAAAATTTGAGGTGGAGGACCACAAAAGATGGGGATTCAGAAAGAGCCTAGAAATGAAGGGAATTGAATTGAAGTTTGGTTATGAGGACCACCATTACTTAGGACCACGGCATTTCCCTGTGACCACTCCTATTTCACGAGATCTCTCATCCATATTATTAGCAACTTCGTCAAGGCGTTTGTGGCCGCCACTTTATGCTCACAAGAATATAGTGACACCCCTCCTTATGTCAAGCTGCATGCTATGCACAAAAATGATGCTTACCCCTCCCAGGTGGTTAAGTCCTACCCATGTAAAGGTCTCAACTAATCTTTGCTTTTTAAGTATATTAATTAATTACATTAAATATGTATATAACTCTTTCAATGCATGTTATTTCTTTCATAAATTACAAGGTGTAAACACCCAAATTATTCTGTGCACTTGAGTCCACCTTACAATGTGGACCCGGGTCCAAATGTTCACAATTTATCTTTAAAATATTCACGATTTGTATACTACGAACACACAATGTTAGCATATATGTAATTGATTTCTTGTTTTGTATTCACAAGTTCCTTTCAAATACTGTAATCACACAATATTAACAGATTATGATGTGTGAACATTCTACAGTTGTTATGTATTTTGACTTAGAAATACAATTTCTATTCTAGAAATTCACAATTCCAATACTAAAAATATACAATTTATACCTCGTTTAGGACCAAGGTCTACCTTACAAGGTTTGGTCCATGTTATATCAACTCATACAAACACATGCTTCGAGAGAATGAAATTTCTTTTACTTAAATCAATAACCGTAAGTATTTTAAACCAGGTTATACTAGACGGATCCACTAATTTAGAAGAATATAATGAGACCCCTACTTCATTAAGGTTTAAATTAACTAAAATGATGTAGAAGAGTTCATGCCCCCTTAAGATGGCATGTCCTCGTGCTATCTCTGTCAGTTATCCGCAAATGCATCATCCCTCAAGTTGCCTAGCGTGCACTCAACTCATTGATATAGTTTGGATATCAAATGATACGAACACGTGCCTTAATTACACTACAAAAACTAGTTTACGAGTATACATTTAACTCATGTCTTATATATTAACTTAGATTCTTGTCAGTAATCGATGTAAGACTTATATCAAGAATTTGATCTCTAACAACTTTTTTTCATTCACAAGGTTTAAACATAGTTTGTTACTTTAAGAGAATCAAATTCTTTTTATTCAAACTAATGGTTGTTAGCATTTAAACCGTGTTATTGAAGAAGGGATACAAAATTCGGGTTCTTAGATCCACTAATCCACAAAAGAAGCTTTGATTCCGTACTTCACTACAACCTTCATGGCATATTCAGGATTGGTTCACACCCAATTGGTTTGATGCTTAAGTTAGAGGTTCAAAGGAGAGCACAATTGTATTTTTATTATTTTATTTTTTTCTTAAGAAGAGAGAGAGAGAGAGAGAGAGAGAGAGAGAGAGATCAGAGAGAATGGGTATCGCTGAATTGAAAGACACAACTATCATTACTAACTCTTCTATGGTTGAAATCCCTCGCATGTCTTTTAATTAGCATAAGATTCGTCAAAGATGTGTGTAAATTGAAGATAGCAATTTCATTTTCCCCTCCTCCATCCTTTTTTTTTTTTTTTTTTTTTTAATGTAACATAGTTTCCATAAAAATTTAATAAAAACGTTCTAATATCTAATATATAATATAATATAAAGAATAAAGAAATTTTAGATTCAATCTTACTCTTTTCTTTTAGTTGTATAACAATAATATAAAAAGTAGTTGGATGACTCTCCTGTGAGACCCTCTCACATATTTTTATTTTTATCCGTATGACGGATTGGGTCTATATGAAACGTTATACTTATGATGGAAATTTTAATATTAATTAGTGATAAATTAATTGTTATTTATAAGGGAATATAATATTTTTAAGGAAAAAAGTAATAATACTTTCAAATTAAAAAAAAAATGCAATATTTAAGGGTTGAAGTGTTACTTATGAGAAAAAGTGTAATACTAATTAGGAAAAAATGATTAATTGTTAAAAATCGCAATACTTGGAAACTGTGATATTTTTTATTAAAAATAATGTAATACATTTAAATAAAAATTTAGTATTAGGGTTGAAGAGTTATTTTCTTTTTGAATGTTACTAACTTTACTACATTGTAGTATTTTTTCAAATATACTTTCTCATGAACCTCTCACATGAGGGAAATCACTACATACCATATGAGCACAAAGTACTTGGCAAGGTTGAAGAGTTACTATTGAGAAAAAATGTAATATTTATAAGGAAAAATATCTACTATACTAATAAGAGCTCAAGAGAGTTAGGCCTATAATGGGTAGAAAAAATGGCGCTCAAATTTTTTAATCAAACGAATGGCTCAGATTGATCAGATTTTAATTTTTCCTTAGGATTTTCTAATTTATCCTTAAGGGGGCGTTTGGTTCAAGGAATCTTTGATTACCCCAGGTAATAGGATTACCTGGGAGTAAGTAATGTGAGATTTTGGGAATGTAAGATTACCTGATGTGTTTGGTTAAAGTTGTAGGAATGTAACATTAACTTGTTTGGTTGAAGGTTATATTTTAAGTTATATTACATCAATTACTTAAATGCCCTCATAGAAATTGAAAGGTGTAAATTACAAGTTTTTTTTTTTTTTTTCATAATTCAAAATTTAACAATAATAATAATAATAATAATAATAATGATAATAATAATAATAATAATAATAATAATAATAATGATGATGATGATGATTGAATGTGTACTGTAAGTAAAGATGAAATTCAATAATAATAATAATAATAATAATAATAATAATAATAATGCAATGCAATGCGTAATTCAATAACAACAACAACAATAACAACAACAACAACAACAATAATAATAATAATAATAATAATAATAATAATAATAATAATAGAATAATGAGGTTTATGTAATGAATAGAAGAGAAATAAATGAGGGCAATTTTGGAATATTGAAAAGTAATCTCACAGTACCTAACTAAAACTTGGTAATCACATTACCTCAAATATACCCCCATTTCCTACGTGGCAGTAATCTTACATTACTTACCCTCTCAGATTACCTAAACCAAACATGGTAATCTAAGATTACCTTTCTCAGATTACCAAGGTAATCTGAGATACCTTGAACCAAACGCCCCCTAATGAATATGATTAACAGTTAACTTTTTCGTTAAATATTATCTTTTCCGTTAATTTCTGTTAGTTCACGGTTAACTTACTCATTGATTTGAACCCAACAAAAAAAATTATTCATTATCAACAAATTAATTAAGATAAATATTTTCATTAGTTATATTGTCCTTATTTTTCTCAAATGTAAAAATTTTTACATTCAAATTCATCAATTGATTATATTCACTACATTGTCTACTATCTTTTTTGTGCACTATTTTTCTAATTAATATCAAAGTTATAATACAAAATAATGCTATATATTTATTTACCAAGTATTTTATTAATACCATGAAAAAATTAAAAAAATATAATTAATAAAGCCAACCATATTAACTAGATAGATTTTGTGACAAAGAGAGTATTCAAATCACACAACAAATTGAAGTGAGAACTACCTTACAATGTCCTTGTTTGACAATCAGCAGTTAGCGGTTAGCGGATTTGACCAACGAATTTATTTAATTATTAACATTGGGTAGAAAAATGATCGCCAAATTATTAAATCAAATGAATGGTTCAGATTGTTCAGGTTTTAATTTTTTTTTCTTTTAAGTTTTTCTAATTTATCCTTAATTATATGATTATCCATTTAACTTTTCCGTTAAATACCGTTAATTCACCGTTAATCTAATTCTAATATTAAAGTCTAATATAGAATTATAACTACACCATCAATCTAATTCTAATATTAAAGTCTTAATAAAACTTAACCACAAATCCTAATGTCGAAATCTCCTCAAACAATATTAGTATATATTTAATATTTTATGCCCTAATTTTTATTTGTTCTCACTTATGTCCCGTATTTGGTTTCAACCATACCTATACAATTATTTTATTGACAATTATAATCAATCTTGACTATATTATCTTGCATTTGTAAACTTAGAATTACCTATTTAACCCGCACGGGCTTAGCTCAATGGTAAATTTAGTGGGCAGTATTTGGGAGAAGAGACCAAGGTTTGAACCTCGGCGGCGACAGTGCGGGAATTATGTCCAAAGTGGGCAGATTGCTTGTACGCACCGGCATTTGGTCCTGTCTGCTAAATCATTGAGTCACCGTGATTTACAACTTTCCACAATGCTCTGTCGGGTCGGAGTGTGGGGACCCTTGGGGTTGGGGACTCAACCTTTGGGAGAAGAATTACCTATTTAAATACGCAAATTCAACCTTCAATTATCTATGCATGAACAATTTCAATATAATCTTGCCTTAATATACTTTAAAGTACTTATTTATTTATTTATTTTTTTTAAAAAACAAACATTGGGCATTATCCCAATCGCGCAATGCGCGTAAAAAACTAGTAGTTCCATAAAATTTAATAAAAACGTTCTAATATCTAATATATAATATAATATAAAGAATAAAGAAATTTTAGATTCAATCTTACTCTTTTCTTTTAGTTGTATAACAATAATATAAAAAGTAGTTGGATGACTCTCCTGTGAGACCCTCTCACATATTTTTATTTTTATCCGTATGACGGATTGGGTCTATATGAAACGTTATACTTATGATGGAAATTTTAATATTAATTAGTGATAAATTAATTGTTATTTATAAGGGAATATAATATTTTTAAGGAAAAAAGTAATAATACTTTCAAATTAAAAAAAAATGCAATATTTAGGGGTTGAAGTGTTACTTATGAGAAAAAGTGTAATACTAATTAGGAAAAAATGATTAATTGTTAAAAATCGCAATACTTGGAAACTGTGATATTTTTTATTAAAAATAACGTAATACATTTAAATAAAAATTTAGTATTAGGGTTGAAGAGTTATTTTCTTTTTGAATGTTACTGATTCTACTACATTGTAGTATTTTTTCAAATATACTTTCTCATGAACCTCTCACATGAGGGAAATCACTACATACCATATGAGCACAAAGTACTTG